GGTCTCACCAAGTTGCCCAGGCGGGTCTCGAGCCCACGGGCTCAGGCAGTCCACTCACCTTGGCCTCCCAAAGTGCGGGATTACAGGCTGAGCCACCGAGCCCGGCCATAACTGGTTTCTCAGCACAGGTATCTTTTCAAGATTTTCAGAGCATTATAAATACATGAAAACAGGCCTGCGGTCCAGCCCTGATCTGGTGGGATTCGGGCCACATGCGGGCTTGAGGAGTGCAGCGAGCGCCCAGCAGGCAGCGACTCGGGCCAGGCAGGGAGCACCCCTTCCCCAGCGCCCGTCGTAACCTGGCCACACGAGGTCCCGGGTTCTCAGGGGAGCAGGGCTGCACTCCCAGCAGCTGTGGTCCTGAGTGTCCTTGGCACCATGTGGCACTCGAAGGAGACGTGGACGCTTGCTGTCAGGGTCTGGGGCGTTCTGAGCCTGTGTCCCCAGGTGGTCCCTTTCCAGGTCCGCCTGGCAAGTGGGTGCTGTGGGCGCGTGCAGGGGGCTGACCCCAGCGCTTCTCCACTCTGGGCAAGCCCGGGCAGCTGCCAGCGCTGCAGAGGTCTGAGGGCAGCTGCTGTCCCGCTGCCTTGGGTGTCATGTGCCTTCTTCTCCAGAAAGCCGTGCTTGGCCTCCACTGTGGGCCTCTGCCGTGGGCCTCTTTGAGAAGGGCAGTATGCAGGACTGTCTGAGGACAGAGGGCAGGACACCCACCTTCCTGTGGCCACCTTCGCCGGCTGCAGGCTGTCCGGAGGCCTCCCCCCATAGGCAGGCAGGAGTCCTGGCTCCCACACAGGGCTGTGGAGCACCTGTGATGGCCACATGCCAGCACCGGGGCTCAGCAGGGGAGGCTGAGGTCTCCCCCAGGGCAGCTGCTGTCTCCGAGTGGGTGGACATCAAACGAGGGTACAACAGCACAACAAGGTGCCTCAGGGCGGGTGGCCCTGGAGCAGGTGACGGTGGAGTGGGTGGCCCACAGAACCGATTGACCCGGGAAGCGCCCTGTGGGGCAGGAGGAACCAGCCTGAGGAGGCCTGGTGGGTGTTCCGGGAAGGGGGGTGCGGCTGTGCAAAGGCCCTGGGCTGTGAGGACACGCTGGGTGTTGGAGGGGGTGTCTGGGGCAGGGGCAGCGAGGGAAGTGGAGGCTGGGTCGTGCAGGCCTCGGAGGCCACAGTTGAGGGTGGGTGTTTCCTGGGCGCGGCAGAGCTGGAGGAACCTTAAGGGGGTGTGTGTTGGGGGTGGACGTGGCATCTGCTGGACGCTCTGGAAAGGTCTCTGGCCGGCACCGCGTTGAGGGTGGAGGCAGGAGGCCAGTGTGTGGCTCCTGTGGGTGACAGGGCAGGAGGGGCACCTGGGGTTTGTCCAGCGGCAAAGCCGGCAGGGCCTCTCACCGGGACCCCCAGGATAAGGACATGGTGCCACGTGGGGTGTGGCTCTGGGAGGCACTCCAGGCCCAGACAGCCTGCAGAGGACTCGTGTGTGGATGCCAGGAACCCTGAGGGTGGGGCCGCATGACCTCCAGGCACGGCTGACCCCGCGGGTCCCTGTCCTGGGAGGAAAGCCACCAGCTGGTGGTGTCTGGGGCCGGCCTTGAGCCCGTGCCCGCCCTCCACGGAGATGGTGCACCTGGCGTTGAGCACTGTGCGTCCCTCCCGCAGCCAGATGTGCTCGGCCCCGGCAGGACACGTGTGAACTTGGCACCCAGCATGCCCTCTCTGGTCGCTCGGGAAGCAGGTGTCCGCCCTGGCCCCGCGCAGGGTGGCGTGTGGCCCCTCAGGCTCCCGGGGCCCCGCAGGAGGACCAGGCTGTGTCTCCAGACTCTGGGCTGCCCGCCCAGCCTGGCCCAGCCCAGGGTTTCCCTTCCAGCATCGAGCCTCCCCCACCACCCCCACCCTCCAAGGCTGAGCCCAGAAAGTAGGGCACCTGCCTGGCTGGGGAGCTGGTGGGCCCGGCCCAGGGCAGCTGTGGAGTTTCCCGGCCCAGGGCAGGCCGTGAAGGGGCATCTCCGTGGCAGAGAAGCCCCTGCACCCAGCGACCCCTCCCGTCGGCCGCCAACTCAACAGGGTCCAGGTCAGGGGACGTCAGTCTTTCCTTGGGGAGGGTTGGAGCTGGGCGGCACGCAGGCCTCCGCTCCCGCCTGCTGTGTCTGCAGCAGGCATCATCCATCGGTCCTGGCGCTGCCTCCGGCCACACCGCACGGGCTTTTAGAACCCCCTTCACTCATCTGGAAGGGCCCAGGAGGTGACACCCACCTGCTGGTCCTGTCCCAGGGCTCTGTCATCCCCAAGTTGTGTCTCTACCAGGATTGGCTGTCAGGAGAGGTTCAGAGCTGGGGCGGATTCCAGCAGGGGTGAGAAACCGGCAGGAAGGTGCCATGACGGCAAGCCTGAGCCCGGGGCCGGCAGTGTCTGGGCCCCCCAGGCCTGGGTTCCTCTTCCCGGGGGAGCGTGGCAGCGTGGTCAGGTCTAAGGCCACCGTGTGGGGCGCCTCACTGCTGCTCGGGGGCTGGGGCCTCGGGCCAGGAGGCAGAACCATTCAGCGTCTGCGTTCCCTTCCATGAAACAGGGCGGTCGCGGTCGGCCCCGTGTCTGGTGCCACGAGGATAATCAGGCCGACCCGCCCGGATTGGTGGAGGCCGGGGGACTAGGGTGTCCCCTGGCCTGCCACCGTGTGCAGCCCTCTGGGGGCAGGTCTTGCCATGGTGAGGAGGTGCTGGGGGCCTTAGGCAAGTTTGTTGGCAAGTCCACACCTCCATTTCCCCTCTACAAGGGGCCTGGCGGCAGCCTCTGCTACACAAGCTTGCCAGGAGACTGTGAGGCCTGGGGCGGCCAGCCTCCTGCCTGGGCCTGAGCGTGTGCCCCAGGATGGGCCCACCGGCTGCTGTCCAGAGTGCTGGGGCCGGCAGCCCCGCCGCCACACTTGTGCACACAAGCCCGCGTCGCACATGACACGTCAGCACACATATTCCATTGTACAGTACCCGTAAGATGTCACCTGCACTGCACGTCACACACGCCACACACATGACACACATCATACACTCTGCATCACTTAACGCAGCACGCACGTTACGCACAAAGCATGTCACATACGAACCAAGCACTGCGTACCACACGCCACATACATGTACACACAGAAACACCCACACTTGTTACATGTCACACACATCGTGCATGCAGATTCACTTACCACACCCACACATCACGCATACAGTGCACATCACACACACCTCACACACGTACCACAGTGCCCCAGATACACATCACATATGCGTCACACAGGCAGCACGCCCGCCCTCCCACCCTCCGGGCCTGCCATGGACACACTGCTGGCCGCGGGCCTGTCGCTCCTAGGCCCAGGAGGAGAGGGTGCTGACCCTCCCGCCCGTGGTGTTGTGTATAGCAGGGTCGGCACCTTCTCCTGCCAGGCCCGGGGCAACAGGCCTGCGGCCAGCGTCCCCTGCAACTGCTTAGCTGTCAGGCAGGCGGGCAGGCAGGGCAGGTGTGACGTGACAGGTGTGACACCCGTGCCTGTCTCCACAGAACCAGGTGCGGGCGGGTCCTGCTCCAGGCTGGTCCACGGCTCACCTGGCCGAGTGGTGCCCGCGGGGCGTCCAGGCCCGAGAGTCCTGTCTATCCTTAGTGCCCCGACCGCCCCGCCGCGGGCCCCGCCGGGCTGAGCCGCCTCTGTGCTGAGCATGACATCGCAGGGGGTGGCTCAGCACCGGGCAGCAGGCAGGGGCTTCCCAAGGGAGCCTGGGACGCCACAGGCCCCCGCGGCCGACTGGGACCCTGTCGCCAGTTCGGGCAGGGCCTGGCGGGAGCAGGATGCCGGCTCCCAGGCCTGACCCCCTGCCTCCTGCCCCAGCAGAGAAGCCCGTGTTCTTCCCGTCCTTCGTGGCTGAGGCCCAGAAACTGCCCGGGGAGCCCCCCTGCTGGGCTTCCGGCCTGCCCTTCCCCGTGCCCCCTCGGGAGGTGATCAAGGCCTCCCCACACGCCCTGGACTCCTCAGCCTTCTCCTACGCGCCACCCGGTGAGTAGCCATCACGCTCAGTCGGCCAGCTTGCAGTCAGGGGCACCAGCTGTGGCACTGGCTCAGAACTGCGTGTGGAAGGACCCTGGTGTCTGATGGGACCTGGCGGGAGGGTGGCCTGGCCCGTGGAGGGGCCGGGGAGCCTTTCTGCGCTTCGGGAAATCCCCAGGACTGTGATGTTTGCCGCAGCAGCAGGGAGCCACAGGTGGTCCTTGAGCAGGCACGGGCAGGCTTGTGACGTGGCTGACCTTTCAGCACTGGCTCAGAGCTAGAGAAGGGGTAGGCCCAGGGGAGCCCCGGGGAAGGGCACTGCCTGGGCTCACAGGCTCTGCGAGGCTGGGCATGGAGGCTGTCTGGCCTCTGTGGTCCTGCTGGGCCTTGCTGGCTGTAAAATCGGCACCCCGGGCGTGGGGCGGGGTGGGCGCAGCGGGGGCGAAAAAAGTGGGATTGCCAGGGGCCAGTAGGGACTGAGGTTGGCCAAGGCTGCCCCGAGTGGAGCTGAGCTTGAAGGTAGAGGGGCCACGGGAGCCAGGAGAGCAGGGAATGGCATGCTGGGCGGAGGGAACAACAGGCGGGAGTGCAGAGGCAGCGAGGTCCGAAAAGGGAACCCAGCGGCCACAGAGGGAGCTTTTGGGAGCCCAGGGCCAGGCTGGGGAAGTGGGAGCCGTGGAGGGTTGGCAGCAGGGAACAGGGTCCTGTGGGCTCTGCTCGAGACGCCTCAGACTCCCGTCCAGGGAAGGGTCTGTCGGGGGCTGAGCTGGAACTGGGGGACCGGCTGGGTCCGCGAGAGCCGAGGGGCCGGGATCCCGGGTGCTGGAGTCTCAGCTGAGGGCTCGGA